TGGTGCACCATTTTTGTGGGTCATGCTCGAAATCCTGAATGTACAGTTTGGCCGTGTGCTCTCACATAGAGTGCGGCATGAGCTCATAATTTCACAGCATTAGAAACACGGGCGCGGGATTCAGAATCAACCCTGTAGGTCTCGCAAGCGTGGAAGGGAAACCAGGAGATCATTAGCTTTCAATCTTTCGCAGCCCCGTTCGGAATGTTTTGTCAAGGCAGGTGGGACCTTCGGCTACTCGAAGCCCAGGTTTGACGAGCGGCCCATGCAGTGGGTGGCGAAGAAGAACCAGGGTGCCTGGGCGAAGGTCCAAATCGGCAACTCATGTTTGTTCGGCCGAGTTCGCTCTGCTGTTTGCAGTGCAATGTCCAGTGTTTCCATCGTCTTGGGAACATCCGTGAATCAAATGCTTTCAGTGCTTCTCTCAAGAACAGTAGGGTATAGAACTGCATTTCATTTTTAGGGAGCTTGTGCAGAACTGTTGTTTTCTGTCTGATTACCTACTATGGCGATTCAGGGAAGCGCCGGGCAAACCTAGCAGACCATTTGACGATGTGTCGTTTGGGACGAGTTCTTCTTTGGCTTGCATTTCCAAGCCAGAGAGCTAAAGCACACAGCAAAACATGTACGGATCTAAATATGCGGTACCCCCCCCCCCGGAGAAAGAAAAAAAAAGAAACAATCAAGCACCCCAAAATTGAGCAATTTATTGTGCTCGCGTTTGCCGCATTTGTGTTGCTGCATTCTTTTCCAACCTGTGTATGCCTTTTCGGGAGTGTGCAGGCGTGCTACTTGCTCTTTTCAGAGCCGTCAGTGTGTTATTCCAGGAGATGGCCCCGCGCTTCCCCCAAACACGTTGTCTCCCGATTGCTACCATGCCCCTAACACGAAAGATGTTGGCATGGTGTATTCGAAACGTCACGCAAACTCACCTCTGCTGGCTTTCAGCCTGTGAAATTCCAATCCTTAAACAGTTGTGTTTATGAGACGTAGCGATACAGCCCTCATGGATTTTCCGGCCCTCACCTTCCAATGTTATTCGCGCTACTCTGGATATGCCACTCTTCTTATTGAATGCTACTTTATAGTTTAGGAGATATCCGTTCCATTATGTCGCAATGACATTGTGTCCTGGGGATGCTTCTGGCATTAGAAGCCTGTGAACCAAACACCTGAGAATTGCAGGAGTATTGTAGTTCCGGCTTGCAATGTTTGGGGAATCTAGAGGCTCTTCAGTTTCTCAACTTGGATCGCGTGACATCAACCATTTGCAGGCACTGCTCAGCGGGATTCTCTGGTGGCTCTTTCGAGGTGTCCATTGGCATGGCTGAAGGTGAGGCCGGTTCAAGTTCATCATGTCAAGTTTTCATTCAGGTCTTTGAAACATGTTTTTCATACCAGCTCCAGTTGACCAACATAGAATACATTTGTTGTCGCTGCATTTTGGAGTACCAACTCCAGTTTACCAGAAAAAAAACACACCTTTGATCGCCTTTCGGCATCGTATTTTTTGGGAAGTCTCTGCGACTTCCCAGGGCGGAAGCCCCCGCAACTTCCTGCGTAAGGCACCTTGCACACGGAGCTGCAAAAGCTGGGGGTGGACACTGTGGTGCAGGTTCGGCCTTTGAAAAAGCGCGGCCGGTGTTGCCCGTAGGTCCCATTTTGTTTCATCCCTTGGCATCCATGCAGAATAGTTGAAACACACAGGACCATGACAGCACAATACCAAAAATATGTCCAGGCAAAGCCGCGTTAGATCCAGTCAAGTGTGATCGCCACGATCCAGTGATCCCTCATTCAATACCGGGTGTCGCCAACTACTCGGATTCGGTTCTTCAGGTGGGTGCCTGGACTGACGACTGCATCATCTCCACGGCGTTCCACGCCTTTAGCCTCCAGTGCCTTGGCCTCGATTTGTCTGGCCGACCAAACAAAAAAAGGCGCCTGATATATGCTGACGCGGAGCCACCCTTTGCCTTCGGCTTGACATGGTTTCACTTTGGGCCTACTTGGAGTGGCAATAATCCTGGTCCGAGAATGATTAATGGGTCACTGACACTTAATATTTGGAATTGGTGGTTCATGGGTCAAGGGCGGGGGACGCCTCTATTTTTTTTGGCCTATCCGCTGAGCATGCATTTTGTTTGCCCGTGGCTTCCGTGTTTGAACTTGCCACTTGCCTGCTGCCTGCGATGTGTCGATGCTTCGTTTGAGCCTAAAAGTAGCACGGCGATCCAGTTATGGGAGGTTTTATGATCGGAGGATACTTCAGTTCTGCCAAAAGTACATTGACATCCCAAAGGCCACAGGACACACCTCAAATGAAAATCAACCAGAGGACGCTCATGTGTCAACTAGGCGAACCTTAGGCTCTGTAGACGATTGCTGGGTGGCGCTTGAACACTAAAAACTGGTGTTGACAAACGTAGGAAAGGGTTCAGTTCAACTTCTGATTTGTCGGTGTCATGGTGAGGGCGTTGTATTTTACTTGAATGTTTTCTATGAATAAAATAGGTTTTGGGCGCTCCTTGCTTGATATGCGAGGACCTCGATGACAGAAGGAAAATGAAAGGGTCCGCTATGGAATGCCAGGGGTTTGGTAGCATCCCGACCTGCTCTCCTTTGAGCGGGTCTCTGAGCCTTGTGGGGTGCGGGTCGGGAAGCAGGTCGACGTTTCAAGTGGATCGCTTTGCGAAAATACGCGACACAAGCAACAAATGATGTGTATGTTGGGAGGGATATGGTGGAAATCTGTGCTACAAATAACCGCAGCGGACACAGCGCTGTCTCTGTACGTCGCAGCTTTCATGTAAACAAACAGGGCGACCTCAACTTCCTGGGGTGATAATTGTTTTCGCGATCAGGAACAGGTCTTGCAGTGACAATACGGGGGAGGCATTTGCATTTTGGCCAATGCCCAGAACGCTCCTTCCTTTTGCAGAACCCTCAGCATTTGAGCAGAGTTCGGTTGGCAAACCCTGGGCTTGGTTCTTCGGCCTGAGGCTTGGTTCTCCCTTCTTTTTCTGCCTGAAATGCAGGTACGATGTGGTTTTGATTGAGGACGGCGTGTCCACTGCCAGCAAGCAGCACTTCAACGCGATCGAAGTGATGAGGGGTGCCGCCGCCAAGGCGTGAAGGCTCCAGGTAAATTCATTTTAATCTAAATCCTTGGGACATTTGTTGCAAACCAACACGACACTGATTTAAGCCGAACCAGTTTTTTTTGTTTAACTGAGTCAAGAGTCAAACACCTATCAATCTGTCCCTGAGGTTGTGTTGGCACAGGATGTGGTGCAGTACTTGGAAGCTGGCCGTCCGGTGCGCCCACGGCCGCCCAAGCAGAAGCTCGCGGGCCCCCGGATGCCTCTCACGCTGCCAAGCCCGACGATGCTCACGTCGGCTCCCTCGAGCGAGGGTCGGACTTCGGGGCTGGAGCTGGGGGTTCTGCTGATCGCGGCTTGGCGTGCACGCGTTTTGCTCCGGTCGACTGGTCGACCTGATTTAAGTCGGATTTTAGGAGCTGGTCCACAAATAGGCGCAGAGCGCCCCTTCAATAATTTCCATCTTGAGGTTTGCATGACGCATCCACAGTTTGGCACACGTACAGGCCACAGAACACATTGGAAAGAGTCAAGCCACATCAGCAGGAAGAAAAGGGGCAAGTCCTGGAGGTCTTTGTGTGTGGCTGACCAATCCAATCGTGAACGTATACTTGAGCAACACATATAAACAACTGCCAGGGCGTTGGCCGAGCCCGGCGCCACTATTTGGAGGGTATGGGTCCACTGTCGGTCCCTTTCGATTTCTTGTGATGATATCGATGATTTGTTGGGCATTCATCTGTCGGGTCGACAAGGTGTTAGCCCCTTAAACTCTTTGGAACACCCTCAAACGGCAGCACGAAGACACCTGGAAAAACCAAAGGGGCGCAAAAACTGCTTAAACTCGCTGGATGTTTGTTTTTGGACTCACCATTTGGCACTGAAGGTAGGCAGCCCATTGCTGTGTTTCTCAAAATTGGGACTCCTCCTGTTGGCTTCCTTTTGGTTTCCCCTTATTGAAAAAACGAACCCCGCTTTCGCCTTCTTTTTTCTTGGTCGGTTTTATTCTTTTTGTGGTTGGCTTCCAAAAGGATATATTTGGTGGGTTAGCATCCTTTTGGTTTATTTGGATATGTGCATTCATTTGGGTATTTGGCAGGTTTTACTCCTTGTTTCCTTTTAGCAGGGTTCCATTTTGGGTACCAGTTTTTGACCCACACCCATTTGGCTGTGGCTCAACTAAATGTACCATAATGATTGGCATAATGACACCTTAATGGACCCAAAGACTAAAGCCGCGTAACCCTAGCTGAATTTTGAGCCACACCCATTTGGTTCACCGAGAAACACTTAGAGGTCGCCTGTGTGGGACCTGCCTCCTTCGCGGCGGGCTGGGTCCTGCGGGGGCGCTCGGGGCGAACCATGCCCCTGCTCTGAACTTGCGGCCTGGGCGATGTGGTTCTAGGGGTTGGTTCCCCATTCTTTCCGTGCACTTAGCGTGAAAATCTCAAGTAGAAGTTGCAGGATGGTAGAAGTTGCGAGATGTGGCAGGATGCACTGTTCTAGGGGTTGATTCCTTTTCCATTGTTTCTATCCATCGTTCATTTCAAGAACCGGCTGTTTTCCCTTGGGTTTTTGGTGGTTTTCTAGAAAGAAGGATCCCTGGAAAGAATGGGGAAGCAACCCTTAAAGAGTGTTAGGAGAAGCTGCTGTGCAGCAGCCCACAGCGATCCCGAGGTATCTGTAGTCTCGGGACCGGCCCGACTGATATCGCTTGAGAAAAGGTCGGGCGTTTGCTTCTTTTTGGCCCACTCGTTTGCCCGATTTGGGTGTAAACGAGGTCACCATGCAGTTCCTTTACTTGCAAATCCGACTCCTAGCTTTGGAGTTGTGACATGTGCAGACTTGCCAGCGCTTTACAGCTTCGAGTGCCAGCGTTGCTTGCGCAACTGGCAGCAGGTGAAGGAGACGGACAAGAAAGACCAGCTCTTGAAGAGTGCTGAAATGATTGAGTCCAATTCTGAGCTCACATTGATTGACTGGATTTGACAAGCCCCTCCCGTTGCTCCCAATAAAAGGCTGCAACAACAAGGGGCTGTTAATTCAGGTTTGCCGTGTTCCCGCCTTCATTGCACCCCTTCTCTCCCTTTGGAGTTCTGAACTATTTCGACGATTGGCGCCCTTGCTTCCCTTATGGCACCTGTGGCTCCCTACGACAACTTCCGACCACGACCACTGTGGCGCCCTCGGGAGCCGGATTTGGCTCCCCCCTTCTTTTCGGCAGTAGGGAGTCTTCGACTAAGCCCGCTCGCCCAATACAAAGCTACACACCTAGCCTCCCTTGTGGGCGCGCAAGCAAACTCAAGCAACCCCCACCCACAAAACGAGCCCCGCCACCAGCCAAACATCATCGAAAGCAGAAGCCGCCCCCGACGAGTGAAAGCCGAAAGTTGATGGAGCCCAAGGAATTCATTCGCACGCCTGGACGAATGCAGACAATATGCTTCCTAGAAGAGACCCCGATGGATGCTCCACTTTGGCCTCGACGCAAAGATCATCCTTCCGTTTGTCAACATTTCGCAAGCAATGCCCTGTGGAAGTATTTGGGGCTCAAAGACGAGCTGAATTCCTGGCAATGTTACCACAAGAAACCGATGCTTGCAAAACCCCGAATTGCTGGCAATGATACCGCAAGAAACGGATGCTTGCAAAACCCCAAACCGAGGAAGTGTTCGAATTTGGGGCTCATCAAGACGAGCTGAATTCCTGGCAATGATTCCGCAAGAAACGGATGCTTGCAAAACCCCAAGCCGAGGAAGTGTTCAGATTTTGGGCTTGTCAAGACGAGCTGAATGCCTGGCAATGCTACCACGAGAAACGAATGCTTTCAAAATCACACCGAGAAAGCGTTCGGATTTTGGGCTTGTCAAGACGAGCTGCATGTCTGGCCATGTTACCACGAGAAACGGATGCTTTCCACAAAGCCAATCCGATAGTCAGTTGAAACTCAGAAACATCTAGACCATTCAAATCCTCAGTCCGGTTCCGTGGTTTCGTACTTTCTGGAAGCCCTGTTCACAAACTTCTAGAAGGTCCATCAAACACCGAGATCTCTCCGCTCCGATTCTGAGGCGCGCCAAACAGGCGCTCCTGAGCTTAAGCCAGCAGAAAGCGGAGGCGAATGGAACATCGACGGGGAGACGTGGCGAATCGAGGTGTTTTATGGACTCAACGCCCCCAACCTTGGCATGTGTTTTTCAGGGGGGCCGTCCAGGGGGCAATTTGGAGTTCCAAGATATATGAGAAGTGGGGGGCATGGTTTTGCGACAAACTATCTGATTGAATAACTGATGCCCTCCAGTCTTCCTTGTCCAGGGATCTTCCGAGGACGTTCAGAAACGTCGCCCTGGCTACAGCAAGGTAAGACGGATGAAGCAGACACACAATGTGTGCAAGCTCGCCTTTCTTTGACTTCTGGCGCTTGGCCATGGCACGTAAGCAACCTGGGCAAATAGGGGTTGCCCATATATATATATATAGCATACATATATATATATATATTGTGATTAGCCATGGTTTACTTCATCACCAGGGATGTCGCGGTAGTGACTGACCTGTGGTGTTTGGCTCAAGATTTTGGGTTCCGTCGCGCCTCGAATGGGCGTCGCCGAACCCCTGCGTCGACCGACGGCATCTCGGGGGAGAAAGAGACCTCGGGCCGCCGCCAGGTTGGTAGGGACCAGTCGTGCGGCCTGTTGTCGACCAAGGTTGCGGGTTAACCCTTTTCTTGTTTGGTTTGTTTTCCTTTGGTTGTTGTTCTCTGGTGTGTGGGAAACCCTGATCTTTGGGACCGGGGATTGGTTTGCTTTTGGGGAACCTTTCTTTTGTGGCTTGTTTACCCCAACTTACCCATTGCCTGGGCACAGGCTCGTGCCCGAATCACAGGTTATCAGCCGTAGGACTTTCCTACGCGCTTGAGACCATCAACTACAAGCTCAATGACGTCGACCCCACGTTCGCACAGGAGCGTCGTGGATGAGGAGGCCATCCTAGGTGGCCTCCGCTCAAGTGAGGACCTACCGGACTATGACTACGAGGAATTCGAGACAGGTTCAGCAGGTCAGGACCGCAGGGGTGATGATCCCGGTAGGGACACACCCAGAAGCCGTGGCAGGTACACTGACGATGGAGACGACCGCATTTTCCGTCAGGCCACCGATGATGAACAAGGACGAGGAGCTCGCTCCGGTAGGAGCGGCTCCGAATCAGGTTTCGGACAAGGTCATTTGGACTTCATCAGCATGGCGATGAACATGGCTCGTCCTCACACGGACGATCAGGAGGCTCTGCCTAATCGACCCCCTAGGTCTCTTTTTCCAGGTGAAACGCAAGCCTCGGATCAGGTTGAGGACAGACCGTTAGGTCCGGGAACCATGGTTTTGGCTCCGAGAGATATCTCGGGTCGATCAACAGGTTCTCAAAATCCAGGTCAGTTTGATGAGCAAGAGGAGAGGGCGTTTGCGGGCATCGGATACGATGCCCTGCTGGCGTCGACCGCAGGTTGAGTCTGATACTAATAGGCCCAACCCGGTTTCGACGACCCGTGTGGACACGGATACTCGGAGTGCAAGAGAGCGGATCGGGGACAGTCGGGGCACCCTTAGGGGTTTGGAGGCCATCCATGACGGAAGAGGACCGGTAGGTCCTCCCGTCATTGATCCCGTCCCAAATGTTCCCCCTTTTCCCAACATCCAGTTTGGAGGACCGCTGCATCAGAGAGTCGGGGATATGAACCGGGGTACTGGTTCATCCAGGATTACTCAGCGAGCCGCCGATGTGGTTGAGGCAGGCGCGAGGGACGGAAGACTTGCTAGTGCGCTTGGAATCGAGGATCGTCCGCCGATCGCTAGCCCGTTAGGGCGAGATCTCAGCGACCTCGAGCCACTAAGGTCTAGCAATGAGTTCACTCCCCAATGGGGATCAGCAAGCAGGGAACGAAGTGCCTCTGCGAAGAGGCCGTCATCCGTAGCCGGAGGGACCGATAGGTCGAAGGCGAGGAGGGCTAGCCCTGGACCGATAGGTTCAACGCCGCAGGATGAAGACATGTTTGATCCTGCTGATGTTCATATTCATTCCACTCCTGAATCTCATGGGCCATGGGTCGAATGTCAATCCCAGATCCGGCGATAGCCGGGGAAGGGGTATCAGTCCAATCAGGCCGCCCAGGATCGCTGATGCTCCTGTTTCCGACCCCAGGGGACGTAACAGAGTTGAAAGGGTTCCTGAGAGGATCGAGATATCGACTCCTCCAGCTCTGAGATCCCATTCTTCTGCTGAATCTGGAGATGCTAGGGTCAAGGAAGTATTTGACCTGCATATCCAGGAGCTGTTTGAACGAGGCGAGGCATCCGGTTCCGTTGCAAACACTCTCAATGCTTTTGCTAATCAGATCAGGTTACTGAACGGTCAGGTGAGTTCCATGCAAAAGGAATGGCAAAATGAGAATCGGCTCATGAAGGACAAGGTCGGCCGTCTAGCTACCGAGGTTGCGACCCAAGCGGATGCTGATCGTATGCGAATGATTGTTCAACGGTTTGCCGGTGAGGTCATTCCCGATAGCAGGGCCATTGTCAGGCAGGCTATCGATGAGCAAAGTGAGGTTGTGGATCAGAGGATCAACTCGTTATCCGACGAGGTTCGGGAATCCGTTAGGGACCTCGAAGGCGGTATGAGTCAACTTCAAAAGCTCGTTGAGGACAAGCAGTATGCTATGTTCAAGAGCCAAGGTGCCTTTCAGGATGAGATCTACACTGAGATCGGGAATTTCGAGAAGCAGCTCCATTCGGTTGAGAAGGCCGTTAGGCTGCTCTCATCCTCGGGTGCTCCCGCTGCATCAGGGCCCGATAGGGCTGCTAGCAGTGGAGATGACGCAAGCTTTCGGGACTTGGTCGCAAGAGTCGATAGACTCCAAGGTGAGAGCGATCGGCATGGGGAATGGGCCACTTCGGCCATTGACGAGCTCCGTGCTGAGTATAGGTCCTTTGCGGACCGAATGCTGGAGTCCCGGAGTGACGGGGGATCTCTTCTGGCCGATAGGCCTAGGGATCTGGAATCACCTCAGGATTGGCGCGGGGCAGTCGAGGAGATCAATCGGAAGATTCAAGATCTCGCGAACAGAGTCCGTCGCCAAGCTCGGAATTATGACACCGTCGTCGAGGATGTTAGGGCTGTGAATGGCCAAATTGTAGTGTTCAATGCGAACACGCAGAGACTCCAGCAGGCTATGGAGGAGATAAGGACAAGATTGGTTGATCTACCTTCGACCACGGATGAGATGCAGGCCGTCGTTAGACGGGAGCTCGTCTACTATCGTAACATGTTAGATGCGTGTATGCGAAGGCTTGGGGCTACCGAGAACAACATCCGAACTCTGAACGAGATGAACACTCGAGTTATGTCTCAGTTTGCCGATCTCGAAGGGAGTATCGAAGATGCTGCTGGCTTGGTCCAACTTGCTCATGACCATCCTCGTGGACACGGGGGTAGGCCTAACGGGGGATACCACGCTTTCGCCGGACAGGGGCACAGGATCAGGTCGCCGACGCCCACTCCTGGAGATGGAAATGCACGAGACTCTGTCCCACCGAATAGGCCGGGTGGAGGCGTTAGCCTAACTGATCATGTGCTGCCGAATGCGCCTGGCAGGGTTGACGCGGCTCCTCGTGCGGCTAGGCGCCCAGTTTCTCCCGTTAGGAATAGGGCGGATAGCCGGAGCAGAAGAGCTCTGCAGATGCAGGACAGGTCGCACTCTCCACCGAGGCGGACGCACTCTCCACCGAGGCGGACGAGGGAAGAATCACTGGCTCGCGCCAGAGCAAATAGAGCAAATGTTTCGATCTCACCGGATAGGGGTGAGGCCAGGAACAGGAGCCCGAGAGTTGCTGCGGTCCCCGATAGGGTGTCTGAGGTTAGGGCTCAACAATCGAGGAACGATAGGCCGGTCCGCGATAGCGGAAACGCCTCTAGGGATTTGAACCACCCACCTAGGAACGACCGGAACAATAGGGTCGGAGACAATGCCCCGAGTCCTGGCGGTAGCCGAGGGACCCCGGGGGCTCCGCCTGATCGCAGGCAGGCTGCTGGACCAACAGCAAGCGGTGAGCCAGGTGGCAATGGACCTGATCTCTCAAGGATGTGTGCTCGAGACAACCCCTACAGACGAGAGCATCCATGTGCAAGTTTCGTTTGTGTCACGTGTGAGCGTGACTTCTGCGAATTGTGCAGGGGTGATGACGGGGACTGTTGCAACTGTCAGTTCTTGAAAATGAAATGCTGGGCATGTCGAAGGAATGCTCTGGAGGTATCCATGTATTCCTGTCACGACTGTGACAAGAACATTTGCAATGAGCATACGTATCGTGGGGAAGATTGTTTTGAGCGATGCTCGCGCTGTCATGCGGCACATGAACGCGCTAACCGTGGGGCACCGCCTCCCCCTCCCGGGGATGGTGGTGGTCACGGGAGACCATCAGGTCGTGGTGGAGGCAGCGGTCATGGATCAAGTCCGCGTCCACCTCCTGGGCCTGGGCCTCCCGGCGAAGGACAAGGGCCCCCTGGACCACCTGGTGGTCCGACTGGAGGCGGTGGAGCACCTTCCGGGATACCCTGGAGGAGGTGGTGCGCCAGCTTTCAGTGGTGTTGCCGTTGACTCTCACGGGATTGGGAACAATCAGTGTGGTTCCAGTTTTTATGGTCCTGCCTACGGGGGTGGCGTTAGCCACTACGGGGTTGGAGCTGGCGTTAGTCAGCCCAACACTGCCGCAGGTTACCCATCGAGTGTCGCAAGTGGTGGTAATCTTGGGCCAGGTCTTAGCCCTGGCTACAGCGTTAATGGAGCCGTTAGGCAGGGAGATGGCGGTCTTCTTCCTGAAGCCTTGAGGGGAGATGATGGACGGGACAAGTGCACTAAGTGTAGCAGGATTCCCGAGCCTGGTTTCCCTCTTGTTCCTTGCGTTGGCTGTGGAATGAGGGCGTGTGAGGTTTGCTGCCTGCTAGGCTGTGTGAAAGTTGCAGGATTACCTCATGTACCCCGATAGGGGCTCTGATTTCCACCGTTGTCGAAAAGGATCGATTCCATCATAAGTGCAACACGATCGTGCTGCCTGCTGAGCCGACAG